TTGCCTTTCTGTAGCTAAACTACAGCTCATCTCCAGCAAGGCATTCACAGACCTGCTGATTTCCATTAGCCCTCTGGCTGGAAAAGAAGCTGAGTTATTGACACAGCCAAAAGCCTGAAAGCAAGATGGAGACATGGACACTAAAGTCACATGTATAAACAGTAGAAAATTCATAAAGATATAACTAACCCTTAATCCTGTCTCCAGCCACTTCAGCATTCCACGTGAGACGTGGAGTGAGACACACGTTTGCTTTAAAGCCTTGACAAAGGAATGGATTGGAAAAGAAGGAGCACAATCTTGCATTTGTGGCTAGTCTTTTCATAGCCCGATAACATCTTTAATATTTGATAAGCGTCTCCCTATCTCCGACACCTACACCAATCACACATGGATCAGCATTGTAGCACAAGACATAGAGTGGAAACTTCAAGCAAAATGTCTGAAGTTCAAGGTGAACTCTGACTTCACTTTCTTTTCCCCTCTGTGATACAATAAGCCGCGGAAAGATGGCAGGCGAGGTTAGTGCTAAAAACAACACAGGAGGCACAGGTATGTGGAACTAACAAAGAACATCCCATTTGCTGTTTCCTCTGTGCATGATGCAGGAGAAACTTTCACATTTGTAGGGGGAAAATTTGATTTACACAAAACATGAGCAAAGAAATTCCACACCAAAGACATTAAATATTTATGCTTAAGAGTAAAAACCTTCAGGGTTAACCAATAAGCTGTGATATGTGTGTGACTGCTAACCCTCCAATTGTTTCAGTTCTCAGAAAATTAAATTACATCCACAAATTCCTATAAGGTAGATATCTAAAACAAACAATATTTTAATATTAATATTCAAACTGTATTTTAAATAATTTCAGTCCAACAAGTTTTCATGGCTTCCACTTATACAGAAGTGCCCAAGAAGTGATTTTAAACTGAAGTTGCTCCTTTATGAGACTTGATAGAAAACAAATAAGCCATGTAAGACATATGCTCAATAATACTTGAATCCAATTGAGCTAAATGAGCCCGCCAGCAGGTAACTGTAATTAAAGAACAATGTTAGTCTCACAAATGATATTATATGAAATAATATATTTTTAATGATTATTGGGAAAATTGCTTATGCATGTATGCATGCTTGTTAATTAAAAAATGCTTGATTTGTGCACTGAAAATGTTAAACAATAAAGTCCTATTGACTTACTTCACTTACTGTATGTCTATATATGTCACTATATGTAGACATTTTCTAACCTACAGAAGTCCTTGTTATTAACTATTATTGGTTATAAGTGAAAAAATAACACTGTAAAGCTACTGTATATGCACATGTAATGTTACAGGTGGAAATATAGGTACATAGGGTACTCTCTATCTGTTACTAGTTTGTTTTCAAATATATTCAGTGTGATAGATATTGTTTGTTAAGTTTTGTATTTACTTAACAGTTTACTGAACAGTTTACAGAACACTAATTCATTCCAGAAAGTGACAGTCACAGTCACAGAGCTTTCTCAAACTGCAAACCTTCCAGTCCTGTGCAATACTTCAGTGCAAAATTAATTGTTAATTAATTGTTAATTGTTAAACTCTTCTTATTATCAATTACTGAGAAAGGCCTGAATTAGCCAATGTCAGGTACGTGGACGCCTACCTTTATTTATACATGTGATTATAGTTATACTTGTGTATTACTAAGAATTATGATGGACAGATAATTTGGAGCCAGGTCAGAGGATGCCCTTTTATTTCAAAGTGAAAATCAGGCAGGCGAAGATCTCAGTTTCTCTTTGGCATTTGGCCACTTTCTCTCCCATATCACTTCCAAAACCACAAGCTGTCAGAGCGTCTGGATCTGCAAGTTTGCAGCAACATAAAATATATTTAAAAACACACGAAGTGTTGTCAATTCTCTTTGTTTGTAAGAGCCTGCAGTGAATGCTGTGAGAACCATATGGATATGAATTGTGTAAAGCGAAAACATGATTGCAAATTTCAGTTTTTCCTGCCAGCATAATGCTATTTATTATGTTTTGTGACATTACTGGGTAGCTGTTTAGATATAGCTGCCAAAAAGGTCCTGTTTATCTGTTGTGTGTGTCTGGGCTGCTTCCAAATTCTTTTTGATGGTTTTCACTATAGTTGTAGCTGCAGCACATTATGAGGCAGAACAGCCTATCATTCACTATTGATTTCTGCTGAAAGAGTGAATCTGGGATTTGCAGGATAAACCACCTTAGGAAAGTGGGTTTCCGTCATTTTCTGGGTCCACATTGTGGAATACATTAGCCAGGAATCCATCAGCCAAGAATGGAGCAGCCCTGAAATAAGGAATCCGGGAATCATACTAGAATTGGTCTAGAGGCCTCGGAAAGCATCAGCTTCTTGAGAAGAATTAAAATAGCATAAAAAGCTTAGATGTGCAAAAAATTATTTTCCATTATTTTCCAGAACTTCATTTTATTACATTTTATTAGATTATTTCCAAAAGATTCACAAGAACAGGAACCTAAAACTGGACAGTAAAGCATTGCTATTTCGAAGAGGGAGTAGTAAAAAAAATGTAAATCCATTCGTTCTGAGAAATACCCTTCTCGCCACTGAAAATCTCAACAGAAGACCTCCCATAATGATAGAACAGAAACTCAGAATGGCCCAGACTAATATGGCTGTCAATATAATATAAAACACTATTTTGTACACGTAAATATAGTTTGATAGTGATTTGAATGTCTGTACACTGCAGTGTCAGAATCAAGGCCCTCACATGTACAGTACAGTAGAAATACAGAACACTGAGACTTCCTACCTCTCTACCTCTAGTCGAGCATTTCCACACTTGCATCTCCCATTGCTCTTTTCTGGACCTTGTTGTTTATAGATTGTTTCTGCTACACTGCAATGATACTATGAAACTGACACAGTAGCACTTTTAACGTCATTGTAAAATCATTAAACTAAATCACTTTAATTGTTTGTCCTAACTCTGAAAGAAAGGCAGTGATGGCGTTGTGCTTATCGGGGGGAGTCAACACGCAGAACGATTGCATTGATCGAGGCAGTGTCTAATCTCATTACCTGGTTTCTGATTTATTGAAATGGGCCCTGTGTGGAATAAGGTTATGAAAGCCAACCTCAAGAGCACTTTGCACGAGTCAGCCGAAATTGAGGTCAATTGAACGCATGCCAGCTTCTCTTAGTTACAGATATTTATTCTTCATTAATGTTTCAGAAAGCAAACACGGTCTGAGGTGTGAAAATGAATTCATGCAATGTGAAATACTATTAGAAGGAAAGGAAGTTATACTTAATTGATTTGCAAGTTCATACTCCAGATACATTTAATAGTAACGACTACTGTGTGTGGTGCTCATTTTGATATGGTAACCCAGAACTATCTCAGGAATAAGTTTATTTTGTAAAAAAGGATGCAATGTAAATATAAAGCTAAACAAATGTATAACTAAAAGGAAGTAATCCTTAAAAACAACATTAAAACCATCTATTAACAGTCATCCTCCATCTAATTATATTTCTTGTTTTGTATCTTTTCTAAGGGAAAAGCTAAAGTTGTAGCTCATGGAGACTTCATTAAGACTCCAGAGACACATTTCCCTGTTCCACAGACACTAAACAATCTGGTGTATCTACCTGCTGGCAGTGGTACTGATCTAGAGGTTAGGAAAAGGTGTGAAACTGTCACTCAGACTACCTCTGATCTGTCACCTTTGACCCCAAAGCATCAGCATCTTCTCATTTGGACTGGTTTGACTTTGATTAGAGAGCATTGAGGTGCTTCTGTCTACTTCCCCCACTTGTAGGCTGCAACACAGAAAAAACACTAGCACTGGCAAAAAAAGGCAGAGACAACCCTAGCTGTGCTGTGTCACATATGTATGGTTGTGTGGATTTAAATCAAGTGTCAGTACAACAGGGAAACAAAAATGCTGAAAAAGAATATCATGTGCTCATTTTCTATTTACATAAAGCTGTATGTTTACACGCATAGGTATTTTATTACAGCTTGGAAGTAATTAAGTATGCGAATTAAAAGCACTGTAGATACTTGCTACTCATTTCAATAGCTTTTAATTGGCAGTAGTGAGAATAGGAAATTGAGTTGGATGACTCCTCTGACACACAACCAAACGTATGATGGAACAGAACCTGAGGCCCAGACAGAAAAAGCAACAGGCATCCTCGATCAATAACCTCAGCCCAGCTCTTTCAATAATGAAATGAACTATGATGGAGACATTGCAAAGCAAAATGCTGTCAAGCTGTGAAGAATGGAAAATCTATATGGATGGATATTGTTGGGAGAAATATGAACTCTGTCCTCACAAGTCCAACCCCTTCAGCACTGACCTAGCCCACATTGTACGGGAATCAATTGTAATTAAACGAAGCACAGGGCATAATTAACGACCAGGTCACCCTGCAGTGGCCTGCAAGTGTCACTGGTTTGCAGAACAAATTCCTGTATTTGAAAAAAGCTATGGTGAGCCAGGAGGGTCTCCTATAACTACACCTCAATGCAGAATGCAGCAGAAGGTACAGAATGTTTCAATAAACATTTTAAGCATAAACTTTTCAAAGCGCCAAGCACACTGCCTGTTGTCAACACTAATTGCCAATAGCCCTACACTCTGACACAAAGCAACCGAAAACACTGCAGCCCTGCACTCTAGCAGTAAGACAAAGAAACCCACCGAAGTTCTGACAATGAAGCTTCTGTACCTGAAATCAAGCTACTGCCATACTGTACTCCAACACTCTAATAACGAGCTGATTAGCAGCCTAGCACTCTAACCCGGAGCTACTGGAACACACTAACAAGACAGAAGCTACTGTAAGACTGGAAGTCCTTACACTTGCAGATGATTCTTTCAAGTCAGAGGTCTCCAAGACTGTCAGCTGTATGGTTTCAGAAGCGCACTGTGACTGATAGTAGTAATGACTGGTCCTGCTTTCCGAATGAACAGTAAAGGGTGTCTTACCTGGTACTCATTGGGCCAGAAGGTGCTCACTGCCAGCTCCACCTGGTGCCACTGCCTCCCATGGGATCCCGACACGTTCCAAACGGGGCTGCCCAGAGGCCCAGCATTGACCCGCACATATGCCTTCAGGTCCCCTGGACTGTGCCCATCCCTGCTGTAAAGGAAGTAGCTGAACTGGACACAGTGCGTGTCATTCTCACTCAGGGTCTGCAGCAGGAGGTGGGCACGCTGCCCCTCAGCATGCTCGGAAGAGTTCACCATCATATAAGACCCTGCAAACAGAAACCAAAACAGAAGGGTCACATAAAAGCCGAAGCCAGTCAAATATCTATTGAGGCCAGTGTGGTGTAGAAACAGACAAGGACCATAAATTTAGACAATAGAAGTTATAATACAGCCAAGACAAGACATAGTGCCAACAGTGCAGTACCTTATAGTGCAGGTGCTCATTTGAGCTGTTTAAGATGCGGACTGCTTGGGGGAAGAAACTGTTTTTGAATCTGTTTGTCGGTGTTCTGATACTGTGATACCTCCTACCAGAACCCAGGGGTGAAAACAGATTGTGACCAGGGTGAATTGGGTCCCGAAGTATAGCTTCAAGAATGGCTTAATCAGTACTAGCAAAACAAACAGGCGCCTATCCAAGAAGTCTTCAAAGGAAGCAGTGTTTTCTTGAGGGTTCAGAGGGTGTGTATAATGAGCAGTCAATACTCCTAAAACCTTCCTTGTCAAAACACACAATAGGCAAATGGTTCACTGAGATTGAGAATCGTCATGTACATTGAAGGAAAAACAGCTCATTTCTGTATGTTTGATTGTGTCACTTTTTTTTTGTCTGGGTGTTGGTCTTTGTGGAGTCAAATGTGAAAGGTCTTTGTCTGCGGTCTAAATATCTGAAGACTTTCCCAGTTAGCATATTTCAGCCCTGGCTTAAGAAAACATCTTTAGCAGACTTAGTAAGAGTACCATGTGGTTTAGATGTTCATTTTCAAAGCTTAGATGCAGAATTGGGGGAACATTAATGTAGAGAAGTTCAAAAGAGAAGTAGCACGTTCTGCATTCCAAATTTATCGGGATAGCTTAACTAAGCAAATCAGGCCAAAGGATCCACCCAGCTGAAAACTAGGAAAAATATTAAAGCAAACTTTCATCTTAACAGGCTCAAAAGAAAGTACAAATATTTTTTCTAACTCTGGATGTTAAAAACAACAACAATCAAATAAAAATAACAATAATAATAATAATAATAATAATAATAATAATAATAATAATTATTATTATTATTATTATTATTATTATTATTATTATTATTATTATTATTATTATTATTATTATTAGTTATTATTATATCACAATTGTGTCTTTTTGTAGTATAATTAATAATTACACAGTACATTAAATGCCATAAATCTGCTTCATGCAATTTGTAACTCAGGGTGTCAGGTAATCCAGAGTCCAGTGTTAACAGCTGGGAGGTGCAAATCACAGGGATGAATTGGAGGTCTTACAATGGCTGTCTGAAGTGATGATTTCTGATCAAACACTGTAAGGGGCCTTAGTGCGGTCCTAATGTTGAGTTTTTACAAAAGGTATATACTGCACGTAAGTCAGAAATGTTGGACTTGAAACATTAATGTGTATGTTCCTCTTTTCTAATTTATTCTGTCTGATAATCTAAAATGAATCACAACTTTGGAAAGGACTGTTGGAAATGAGATGCTGTCATTGCTGATGGTGACAGAGAGGTCTTTTTATTGTTGGATACATTTAATTGTGAAGGCTCAAAAATCTTCCTTTTTTTCCTTTCTTTAGATGACCAAGGGCATTCCGAGATTCACGCTCTCCACACACCAAAGGAAGTATATCGAAATCTAGAATCTGTGCAGCTGGGATGACCTGCCCCCGTGGGTCCCCCTGCATTAATCATTGAGACAATAACAGTAGCAGAGAGGGTGGTTAAACTGGAGAGGAGAGGCAGAGGTGGGAATTAATTACAGCACTGAAACGCGAGCTCAGCCCAAAATCTAAACAACCTCCATAGGACAGCGTGCCCTCGTCTCCATATGGAGCTCACTTGTACCCACGCCTCCCGTTACAGAAGAGTGGAGCACGAGGAGGTTAAGTATCTGTACACACAATGAGTAAGTGGCAGAGTTCAGAGTTTGAACTTTCAAATAGCAAGGTCTTTTCCACTAGGATTATAAAATGCATATTAAAAAGGGCATTCAGTACATTTCCGTGTGTTAATTCCTGGTTTGGATCCCTACTTTAACACTGCTTTGGCGACAATGTTTTTAATGTGACTTATGAAAGCATTGCAAGCTACTGTGGAGCAGAGTTCACTTGCTGTAGCAGATAGCTTTGAGCGTGAACACTAACCTTACAGTGGTCAGACAACACTGCGGCGGAGCACTGAGCCAGATGAAAGCAGAAATGTATTTCTTGCTGCGTCCAGCGCACCTCAGGGATGAGTGCTGTACCAGCTGAACCTTTGCTCTCCAGCACTTTGAGATCACTGGCTGGGATGAATCCAGCTGCATAAGCACAGATTGCTGCTGCAGCTGTTGCTATGCATCATTTGATCTCCAGCGATGTTTCAATGTAAAACGTGGATCATGCATTTTAGTTTTAGTTGTTGACGCCTTTGTTTTGCTGAACAAAGTCAGCCTGTGATGGGAATATGATATACTGTATAGCTGTCTATAGAGGAAGTAATGAGATTGCACCAAAAGCAACATGAAAAAAACTGTACTAATCCATGTTTTTTTTTTCTAAATTTTCTAAAATTTGGATAATTGGTCTTTGCTTTTCCAGTTCCTTCCACTAACTGTCTTAACACTAGTTTTAATTAATTACCTGTGCTGCAGAGATGATATCACACAACTGTAACAATCTCAAAATGCATGGGGCAGATGTTTAAGGTGAAAAGAAAAAAAAGAAGTAGCCAACTTTACACTCATTAGATTTTTCTTATTGATGTGAAATACCTGCCAGGCGGTATCTCTGACTGTACCCTTTATTTATAGCTCCAGGTGAAGCATTCAGAAACACTGTGATTTTAATCATATCTTCGATGTTGTGAAGCATCAGATTGTGGAAAGGCAGGGAGAAGAGGGAAGTTGATAGCCAGAGCAGTGTACTCATTTGACTTTGTACAGGGATCAGTGCAAAGAGATCAGAGCTGGCAGAACAGGTGCTGCCAAGAACTTTAAGGGCATTTTGTCTGAACATGAAACGAGACCCTGCTGGAAAATGAGAAGGATGCTGCCTCTTTGATATTTGCAGTTTTTCTATTAAAAAAGCAGAACAACAAAGAAAAAGGTAATCTGCTAAGCTTCACTGCTGCAGATGTCAGTGGCTTTGATGAAATAAATAACAAGTCAGGTCACCGAATCCCTCCAGTCCCAAATGTGAAAATACACAGAACTTTCACTGAAAACATTTACACTGGATTTTTAATTTAGCAAACATATAAATCTTCTGTATGTATGATCCAAACTTTCTACTGGGGAGAGAGGCAGCAATAAATGCTCAACTAGTACATTGTTTCTTTTTCTGTCTTTTATTAATTTATTTTGCATTTAATAAATTCTTACTGCTTTCTAATGGGACTCTGAGCTGTAATCACAAGCCCTCTGAAGTTAACAACAATAACAAATATTAACATTAAACTGCTTGCCGTATACAAGATATAATATAAGTAATGCTGACCTTCTGATTGTTTGAGGCTAGAGACACAGGTGTTTTATTGAAACTCAAAGCCACAAAGTTCCTTATTGATCCCAATGTTCCTAAGACAATGATAATTTGTACAATTTCTTTCTAAAATCACTCAGGAGATATGTACCTGATCCTCAGCAAAGAATAGTTCTGGATGCTTCGTGAAAAACGTTCCTAATTAGCATGTCTGATTGCGTCCCTAAACCTCACTGTTGTGAGTCAGTCAATTTGCATGACTCTGAATTTCAAGGGTCATGACAACTGGGGGGACACACAGCAGACAGCATTAATACAAGATGATCCCAGAGACGCCTGGTTCAAATCACTGGTGTGTCCCCTGCCACCCATAGCTCCGATTGTCTGGTAGACATGTCAGACTGTTCTAGCATTGCTAGGGGGTCCTCAATTCATCACACAACAACAGCTCCTGCACCACACCTGGTATTATCAGGGAGGCCGTGTCTTATCCACCGTCTCTCATTGAAGCCCTGTTCTTTCTGATCCTCCTGCTCACTTAAGTGAAAGGAGCACGTGTATTGGGTACAACAGGAGGCACACAGTCAGTTATTTTAAATTCCATTTAAAACAAAACAGGTAGGTCTAGGTAGTTTGTCTTTTAACACCTACTTCTGACTACAGTTATTGCACAGTAGAGAACACTAGAAACTGAGCTCTCCATACCCACCAGCAATATTTCAACTTCTATCAATCAGCCCCCGAATGAACACCAATATATGATGCTACTTTTATGCAGGCTAAATCAAAGCACTTCAGCGGAGTATCAACCACTCGGTCAGTGGCATTGATTGACAGAAAGAAGAAAGAATTACTGTTACTAACCAACATTTTTTTTATTTTCCTTCTGGATAAGGTGATTATTTCAGATAAATATCTCCATCCCACTAGAAGCATCACCCTAATTCCAGACTGTCTTTGAGCATAGTGGCTACACACTGGCTGTCAGTCTTCCTCTTTTTGACAAGAACAGAACAACTCCACAGACATGAGGGGAATAGCTGAGCTCCTTACAGGACTTGGAGAGTTCTAATTGCTCCAATTTGACAGTATTTTGCAAGCCTGGAGGGACTACAACCTTGAAGCCAATCACTCATTACATTGAGGGAGTGGAGCTTTGCCAAAAGTTCTTTACAAAAGCCTCCCGCGTCTTTCTCCTGAAGAGACAGTTATGCATAAAAACAAAACGATACAGTACTAAACAGAAAAGCCTGATTTTATAATAAGAAATATGTCAGAAAACATAAAATTTACATCTCTCCAACACGTTGCTGAATTATTTCAGTTCCCATTTTGCATTTTTCTTTCTTTTGAAGAATTAAGGAAAAGATCAGCTGCCTTCCACAATGAAGAAGAAAAGGCCATTGTTACATAATTATTCTCTCTTGCTTCAGAACCTGACAGAAATGTTACTTTTCCCCCTGTTCCCATTGTATTTTCTCACAAAAGAAAAAAAGATATTCATCTCTGTTTTGACTAATTTAGCTCAAAGGGGAAAGATCTTACATTCCGGAGTTTCTAAAAATAGCAAAATACG